GTTTTCAAAAATACCCGTGTACGTGTGGACGTAGCCTAAGATCTCACTAAGAGATTTCCTTCTGCAGCCCCAGAAAACAAAAACAGTAATCTATTCTCTGACGGGGAGAGTTTAAAACCTAAAAAAACAAAAACAAACTAGTTTGTAGATGCACAAAAAGTCAGATCCAGTAAATTTGCCAGGTTAGTCTGCCCAGCAGCTGCTCTCAGATTGTTTCTGAATCACGCTCGGACATTCAGTGACTCGACGTTGTCACAAAGGGCAGTAACCACAGAAAGTCCTCATTAACTCCACTTAACATTTTCAGTCTGCAGCTGCTGTCCAGGATGATGCAGTGCCTTTTGATACAATCAGGTGTTAACAAAAAGCTTCACTGAGCTGGGACCCTCATCTTGAGACAGTGCTTCTTATCTGAGTGTCTGTGCAGAGCGTGGCATCTCAGAGTCACGCTTCTGAGCCCAATCAAATGCTCTCAGATCAAGTGTGTGGAGATAGACTCACTGATACCTTGCTCCCATACCTCATCTCCGAGCTATGTTCTGTATTCGGTTTCCCTGCTTTTGTTTTGCTCTGTGTGGGAAGCTGCTGGTGTATTTTTCACCTGCGGCTATAATTCCATCAGGTACATTGCCAGATCTGTCCCTGCCCAGCAACTATCAGCTTGCTGGCTCTGTGCACTTGAAGGACTGTCAGCGCTTGTGATTGATTTACTTGAAAATTCTGTTTTCCACAGGGCCACCTGGCTGCCCACTTATGTTACATAACAGTATTTTGTGCTTTTCCAGTATCTGTTTAATGTTGGTTTGTTGCACAGGGCCAAAAAATACTTGTCAGTGTGTTTTACCTGAAACATGCGCTACATTGGGACTGATTAATGAGCAGCTAATGCTGGGGCCTGTTTGTGCCACCAAAAGGTTGTTTGGGAAGCCCAGCACTCACTTTTCACATTCTGAAACACTCTGTTTCACTCAATACAGTATTAAATTGGTATTAATCGACAGGTCAAAATAGTTCAAAGAAAATAATAATCTCTTACAATGTAAGCATTAGAATGTCATCATCATTTTGGGTAAACGCTTACCAAATATGACTCGTGAATGAAAACTATGATGCAGTTGTGCGGTGTTGTAGTGATATAGTCTATACTGCTCTTCATCTACAAACACAGTGCATTAGTGTTTCTGTTGGCTGATGGTGTACATCTGCTCAGTTAAACAAAGGTAAACAACTAACTAGTCTTTGATTTCTCACCCAGCTCTTAATTGCAGACAGTGAAAAACAGAAAAGCAAGCTGTAAGAGTAACGTTCCACAAATTAGTTGTTTTCAGTATTGGTGCGATCACACAAAGATAAAGTAGCATAGGTCTCATTCCAATTAGACTAGAGTCCCATAACCTGACTCTTTGATATTTGTGTATTTGTTCTCCAGCAATGGAGGAGCTGGTGTGTGAGCTTCGTCTGTTTCTGGACCTGCTGGACAGAGAATATCTGAGTGCTGGGGTCCGAGAGAAGAAGATACACCTCTCCAATATTCTGCACAGAGTACTGTCCGACAAAGGTGAGGATTAAACTTATACTGCACCTTCTGAAACACTTAGATACAACACCTGACCTTACTATGGCTGACTGCAGGAGTTCCATGAGCAGTCTGGTACATACACAAAGAATGTAGACCACAATAAGCTGGTCCTAGGTCAGTGTGGGATTGAATTGTTTGGTTGCTGTCATCATAGAGTTATATTGGTATACATTTACTTATAAAACCCTTTACTTGTAAGCTAATATAGCCAAAAGTTTTTTTATGACAGATTAAAAGAGTTAATTTCATCAGTGTGATGTTTTCTGAGCTTTTCTTTAACACAGACTTTTTTCTTTAAGATGTTCACGTGTGTGGCTGCCACGTGTGTGGCAAAAACATGTTTATATTAAAATCTGGATGAATCGAACATGAAAAGAAGATATACACAGAAATTTTATTGTATTTTTGTCTCTTGTTTGCATCCTTAAACGCGAAGATTGTTTTAGTGCTATACTGGAAGCCTCAAAACATGAGATTATTCACACAAATTCATAATGACGTTTCAGTTTTCTATCAACAACAAAATGTCACGTGCAGAAATATTTATTGGAGATTTTGCATTTTAACATTAAAAAAATCCACAAAGGGACCTTGTAATGAGGAGCAGAAGTGAAGCGCATTAAAATCAGAGAAACACAGAAGCACAGTCTATTTGGTTCTATGATTTTAAGAAGGGAAATTATGACATTTTATTTTTTGTCACTACTTAGATTTGACACTAGTGGCACTGTAAAGCATCTTCTTGTTTATATTCATAATAGCCACTTGATTTCTTCTAGAGCCTTCATTCAAGTCAGAGATACACAGCGGACTGCCTGCTCCACCTCAGATGCCACTTCCAGAGATCCCTCACCCCTGGATGGTAAGACTGAAGTTTATTTAGATTTATTAATTTTAGTTCTCTGTAATTTGGCCATGCTGGAACTTATCGCAAGCAGTGCTCACAGTAAGAGTTATACCGAGTTCCAGTATGCGTTCTGGTTGTCTGACTAAAGAGAGTTGTTTCTACAAATACCAGATAGCCCTGCGTCATTCTGCTTCCGCTGCTATGGGTCATCCTCTCAGCCCAGCTGCTTTAATGCAAAACCAAGCAAATCAGTGGTGAAGGACAAAAGAATACTTTATTTTCAGGACACTGCTGAGTAACTACATTTTGAGCAATGCAGTGCAAGTCACATGTAATTTATGTGGCATAAGTAAGTGATAAATAAAGGAAAGACAGCTCATTTCCTTTGTCCTGCTATTATACAGGTTACTATACACTCTCCAGAGTGCAAGGACCTAACGTTTCTGTATACGACCCAATTTGATCCCAGCGTTAAATTAAAAGCGACAATATTGACATCCAGGACGAAACTAGAAATTACTATTTTAAATAATACATTAGGCCTTATAAATAAAACATAGCCAATAAATATTGAATATAAAATGATTTGACAACTGTCTATAAAACAATGCACTATTCTTAATGTTAGGTCAGTGTTAGAGTCTTTACTTTATAGTGCTGCTATTTGCAGTTGCACTACTTTCCCCAAACTAGCTAATTTTGTCACATCATCTGTTCAAAGCTGAACGTTACCTCCCAGTTTGCATTCATTTACAGCATTTCATTGAATTTAGGTCCAATTTCAAATCCCTTTTGGATATTTTTAAATAACTTCATCATGTTAACACTACAGGTATCTTTAACATTCATGCAGGACTGCTTACCAGTAACACACAACTGGTGCTAGTAGAAACTGCAGAGAAATGACCAATAACGCTGACCCTTACCTTCATTATTACCAGATGGTGAACTTGTTAGCAATACACTGAAGTTCTGTGCACAAGTTTTTGTGACACCCTGCACCTGAATGGTGTTAATCACGCAAATGCCAGCGCTACCAATGCAGCAGGACATAGAAACCATATGAGATGTGTTTTACAGTCACTTGTAAAGCAGTTGGAAGGCCTGTCATGGCTTCAGTATGTTTTCCTCTCTCGTACTGCGCCTCACATCGCCATGACGGTCAATGAGGACCGTAACATCTCTGTTAAAACAGTGATGCGTGTGTCATTATTGTGAAAGTGAGATGTGCATGTAAAAAGACCCAGTGTGAAGAATAACAGTGTGTGTCTGCCATTATTGTGGGAACAGATGCCTGTGATAAAAAGCAGGTGGCCGTGATGGCTTGCAAAGCCTTTATTTCATAGCAATAAGCCACAACACCTTGTTCTACATCTTACTCACACACACACGCAGGACACGCACACATTCCAAGGCACAAGGCCTTACAGTGCAGTTTGTAATTAGAACCAGTCGTCAGCCTCAGCCTCCTCTGGTGACCCCAGTGTGTGTCTGGAAATCACAGCCGAGGGTTTCCCAGAAAACTAGGCGAGTGAGGAGGAGGAGTTTCTGATGTTTCTGTGTCTCTGCTTGTTGTCTCTCTTCTCTGCTGCCCCAATCAGAACCAGTAACATAAGAAAATACATAGCAGAGCCTTGCACGACACCCCAGACTCTCGGGCCTGTTCGGTGCTTACCTTACCTTTATTTAAACAAAGCACATAGGCACACAATTACACAACTCTTTCTGTCTTTTATGGAAAGAGTGAAGTTTTTAGCAGGTCTTCATCACTGGCTGAAGGAGACCCACTCAGGACTGGGTTGAGCATTTTGATTTTTAACTTACTTTTTGTTGAATTTTGTATTTGTTGTTTGGTCGAGTGTGTGAGACGGATAAACACTGGAACAGCCTGTAAACACGGTTATAGCGGAAAAAAGACGCCAGCTTCTCCTTGTTTCCCTCCCCACCATTGTGTGTTGCTTTAATTTAAATAAAATGTTTATGTTTTTTTCTGAACATAGACTACTGCCTTTCTTTCCGTTATGAGTTTGAGTGAATAAATCGCCACGTTTGGGCGCACTCTCAGGAGGGTGCATTTGCTTGCAACTGGAAGAGGATGCCGTTAAACACTGCTATTATTTCTTCAGTTGACTCCTTCTCTTAGCCTCAACCAGCATTATTAGCAAACTTACTCATGGGCAGATAAATAGATGAATAAATCTCTCTTAGTTGATATATTCGTCCAAAATCATCCAACCATACTTTATACACTTTATCCAACAATATCATGCTCTGGACACTGGCTACTGTGTACAAAGTAATCATAATACTAACGACAGCATAAGCTGTGACAAACATTCAACAGCAAGGATTTTCATCAGCAGAAAAGAAAGCAGCTAAAATATATTAAGTGGTTAAATTGAGCCATTCACATTAGAACAAAACCTCTCTGAGTAATATATGTGCAGGGTTTGCAGAGTCGCAGCAGTAAAGTATAATTCTCATAAATATACTTGGATGGAAACCCAGCTACTGTCTTTTATTTTGTGCCAGCTCTCTGTCTCCCTGTTGCCGTCTCTGCTCTGAAATTACCATCTATCACATTTCCACACTGACCTCTGGAGAAGCTGTCCAGACTGAGGAAAAAAGTGTTGTGCTCCCTTTCTCCACTCTTCATTTCTTGCAAAATTTCCACCGCGTGCAAATGAAACAGCGGACAAACGGTTAAGAGGAAAAGAGAGAGGAGGCGGCTAGAAAGAAAATAGTAAACAGGGTAGAGAGTTAAAGAAACAAAGATTTCATGTTGATGAAAAACAACCTTGTTAGTCATGAGAAGTTGCAGTTATTTGTGTTATACTGCATCAGTCTTTAGTTGGTGTTGGTGAAGAAGTGGAACATGGACTAGAGCAATCTGGTGAAATAATAGACAAGGAAGACAGTCTCTTTGTGACCCGTTGAGCCTCAAAGCCAAACCGACACTCACGTACACAAAGAGCCTGTGCCTTTAGAAGCTGAATCAGTCCTTAGCTTCCACATTTTGATTACTAACAGTTACATAAGGAATACTTAGTTTAGAGTAGCTCACTTGATGTACAATACTTAATCAGAGGACTGTGGTGTTGGAATTTATTACTCAAACCCAAACAATATGCAGATTGAAGACTCTTCCAGAATATTCTGCTAGTATATGAAGTGCAAAAGAAGACAAATGGCTTTGCACAGACTTCCACGATAAGTTTATTTACTGCTGAATTGTTCTGGAGTGTGTCATCACATTTAGTCCATTTCAGAACTTATTCGCTTGTTAAAATAATTTTATTTCCAGGTGTTTGTGGCATTTTTTTTTTCACATCTTAAGGCCTTTGTTCAAGAGTATATACGATCTTGAAAAGACATTCTTAGTGTTTTTACAAACTTAGTGGGGCATGTTAACACAGTGTAGCTCTTAGCAGAGCATGACAGTCACATGTGTGACACCCGTTAGCCTTTGCATGAGCAGAGGAAAACAAAGAAACAAAGACATGATGTGTGTAAACTACTCCAATTCTTTCCCAAGGGCAAACTTGTGATTGACTCTTATACACACACACACACACACACACACACACACACAGCAGGATATCCACTAACCAAACAGACTTCCACTGGATCCTGTTTTGGTTTATCAAGCTGAAACTGGTCTACTTTGAGCCACTATATTGTCTTTCCCTAATTGTATATGCATATAAAGTTGGTCTTTATATGTTTATATAAAAGCACAACAAAAAGGGGGTAGTGTCCACTTTAAAGTTTTTCACCAAAACTCCAAAACCACAATGTTAACAGCACTGATTCGTGACAGTGTGATAGGGTTACAAGTCTGAGATGATGGAATAGGCTGTCATCTGGAATAACTTCATTTCCAGGAGTTGAGTGCCAGATAACCCAGAAACTAGAATATCTGTAAACCTACAGAACAATAACACTACTGATCATGTTTTTTCTCAGTATAAATATAACTAAAGTTCAATAATTGTTTGATGCAACAGCACAATATTTTGTCACCTTAAATATATTTATCTGTGTACACTGGACATGTTGGTGATGCCTGCTAATCAAAGACAGACAAAACAACAAAGCAATTTATAGAAAGTTAGAAAATATGCCAAGCCTTTAATCCGTACAAGTAGTGGGTTTGCTGACAGAGCAGCTGAACCCTTTTATGTCAGATTGATCCTTTCCACAACACTCACCTTATAAATCTCTACGTTCCTCCATGGAAGAGGATCACAGCACCATTTTACAATGTGCTACATGCCACACGTAAATGCACAGAAACAGTAAAAACAAGGTCTGGCTCTGATTGGATCATAATGACTAATAAGTATGACAAAATCCCACTGAAGTCCTCTTCTTGTCATCCTGTCACTTTTCATATTCAGGATTTATGTTACATTAATATTTTTCTTTTATCTTTGGCATGAAGTACATTGCTGTCATCAAAAAGCTTGCAGCTTCAGCCACATGAATGGTTTTCATCCAAAATTTGAGCAGTTTAAAGAAGAATACTGGAAAATAAAATGTAAATTGTGCGTGTTTCCATTAAACTCCTTTAAAGAAAACAAATGGACTTCCAGATGGAGAATGGAGCTCCACCCAACATGAAAAATAGTAAACATCTGCCTAAAATGTTTCTGCATTGTTCATGCTTCGTGTTGTCACGTGATGAAAAAAGGAGGTGAGATATTTAAAGTCATCTGTTGTGGCAGTGCACCATTGATTTGTGTTTTTTCTTTTAATTTTAATAGAATGGAACAAACATTCAGTTTTGATGAATCTGAATTTTAACTTGGGTCTCAAGCTTTTTTGTTTTACTACTCACAACTACTTTTACCAACATTTCGAGCACACAGCGGTGAAGAACTTTTTTGGGTCCAAAACAATTTCCCCAGTTGCTTTGACAGTTCATTCGACATTTATGTTACAAAAACAGTTAAAGCTGCTCTTAAATGTCCCGCAAGCCCAAGATAAAGGTTTGTGTCTAAGATCCCCACACC